GGAATCAAATCCATGTCTTGGAAATTTTTGGTATTTTCTTTCCCCTCACCAAATAAGTTTATTTTTTCATATAATCATCGTTAGTTTTCGATAAACCAATTAACAAGAGTAAAATATGTTTACTTCAATGCTTACTAACTGCATCATTGTTAATTTTTGATAAATTAAAGGAGTTTATTTTCATGTATATTCACGCCTTGGTGGTTTATGAACTTTCAAACCTAATGTAAATTAAAGGAGTTTATTTTCATTGAAATTTTCTGCAAATTCCTGGACCTTGAAATGTAGCTTGGAGTTTGAGAAAAATAGTCTTAACCTTGATTTTTTTTTAATCTCAAGGTTGACTCTTGGAAGCTTTGATTGTAATGTTGAATTTTGGTGTTGGAGTTTTGGACTTTGAAGTGGCTCAAAAACTAGCTCTTAAAGAAGGTAGATGGAAAAAATGCTCTTCTCAAGCATAGGAGAAAAAAGAATCTTTTAAACTTTTCCACACCTAAACTCCTTGGGAATTTTTGAGCCTATAAATATGAACCACTCTTCACTTAGTATTAAAAGGTGAATGAGAAGAGGGGAGCTCTCGCGCACACAAGAATTCCGGTTTCTAGTTCAGAATCAAAAATTCGCAGCCCCCCTGCGCGGGCGACCTGCGGACACGATAGTCGTAAAATTTAGCGGGTCTCAAAAGACAATTTTGCCCCTCTTTTTTTTATAGCTTAACCCAGTTTTTTAATTTATGGGTAAATCGCCAAACCGTTGGGTGACTTATAAGTTGCCATCCGGTTGGGGGACTTATAAGTCGCCAAACGGTTTGGCGACTTACCCCGATTAGGGTTAAGCCTAGCAGTATATCCGGAAATACTTTTAACCCAACCCTATTTTCGTAAATACTTAATTAATTAGCATTAATACGGAAAAAAACTCAAGAGATACGAGTACTAGTAATAAATTTAGAAAAACATATGCCGTTGTCATATTTTAATGTCATTACTTGTTTCTATGTCACTCTTAGGGCCTGTTTGGTATGATGCAAAGTAAGCACTTTGCATCAATTGCATGCAAGTGTGGGGAAGTAAACATTTTACACCGTTTGTTTTAATAATTTGATGTAAATTGTAGGACACTTTTTTTAAAACAGGTTACACTGTATCACGTAAAATAGTTTACCTAGTTCCGATTATATCATTATACCGGTAATAAACTATATCAGGCTCCAGCTCTTACAATTTAGACCTACTTCCGACTTAGATATACCTTCCGTCCCGCTAATATTGTCTCATTTTATTTTTCGGGAAATCCCATTGAAATCGTCTCATACTAAATTTGATAAAGTTTGTGTGGCTCTAAATTATTCATACTTTATTATTACTTTATCAATTAATATCAACCAAATAAATCCACTTTTCTTAATCGCCGTGCCACCCCCTTCTGTCCCATGAAACATGTCATTGTGAACGCGCAAACTATAAGATACACTCGGTTGTACTTTGAGCATGATACAACCAAGTATTTTTGTAATATGTAGAAACTTTCAGACTCTCAATAAAACTTCCACCTCTGATCTCTAAATCGTGTGTAGGCATATGCCCATACTTATTTTTTGCCGATCGTTTTCTTCTTCAAGATGGAATCTGTTGTCGCCGTCTTTCATTATCATCATCACCACTCGGTCAATCGGAAATCCACGGTGTACGAGTCACACAACATCAGTAGATCTATCCTCTTGAGCTTTGGCGGTTCTCGTCGCAGTTATAGCCGGAGAAGTTTGCCTTTCCTTGCCGGCTGTCCAACGTCACCATCACTTGTTGGTCGTCCATTGCCGCCATCACTTGCTTGTCTTTCAACACTGCCGCTTGTCACAGGACTCATAAATGACGAATCAACAAATTTTTATAATAAATCTATCACATCTGCATATTATAGAAATAAGTTTTATGTTAAACTCAAATGAATATAACACCTAAAAGAATGATCATACACATATGAATATTGGGCACATTAGAAATGAGTTTGATGTTAAACTCAAATGAGTATAACGTCTATAAGGAATTACATGCACAAATGAGCTTTTACATATTTCAATTCTCATTTTGTAAGTTATGTATGTTCATTTGGTACTGGTGTTTTGCTCATTTTAAAATGTTATATCAATACATAATTCAAAAGTACCATATTGCATTATATTCACTTATGAGTTGATTATATACACAAGTGTACAAATCATGATACTCAATTGCATGCTTCTAATACTCAATAGATGATGTTTGATACTCAATATGAATTTCTTGATGTTCAACGGACAAAACTTACAATTTTCATATCAATGCTCATTTTACAAATTACATATGCTCATTTGATACTGATGATATATGTCACGCCCCAGACCGCAATCCAAGCGCGTGTACAACCGCCATATAACCAAGTGACGTCACCCGCGAGTCAACCGCACTTAATTACACAAGGCGTTCGAGAAAATAATCCATCCATACTCAGTAGTAAACATACATAACAACATCACATTTAAACCAATGAATAGCGGAAATATTCAACGGTAAGTCATAAGCCACAACCGGCCAACAACATGGGCATACAAGCCCGAAAAATAGTTTATAGTAATTGAAATATCCATGAGCATGTGTTCGGTAGTTTGAAAGAAAATAAGGAAGCACGAACCACGTATTCTTGAAGTTGATATCACCCGTAAGAAGGTGCAAGTAGCAAGCCCTAGCTTCAACCTGAAAATGGTGCCCCCCCCCCCCCCCCCGAAGGGGTCAGTACAAGTACCGAGCGAGTAGCAGGCTAAATATAGAATAACTAGCGTTTCAAGTATAAGACCCGAACATAAGGTGATACTTATATAAATAGTCTTTTCCCCCAAGTTATGAAATACTTATTAGTATATATATATACTTGGAAAATATCCGATCCGTTGATCACCGTTTTATTTGGGAAAATAGTAATAGTCAATATTCTTGACTAAAAACCCCAACCCACCCATATACCTATGAGTGTATAGGACTCCTCCTTGTCCCTATTTCAATATCATAATCTATGAGTTTTGAGGATCATAATCCTTGGGTACTCCACCAATTTATTTTCGAGTGTTAAGGACTTTTAGTCCTAGGGTCCTCCACCAATTTATAATCCGAGTGTTAAGGACTTTAAGTCCTAGGGTCCTCCACCAATTTATAATCCGAGTGTTAAGGAATTTAAGTCCTAGGGTCCTCCACCAATTTATAATCCGAGTGTTAAGGACTTTAAGTCCTAGGGTCCTCCACCAATTTATAATCCGAGTGTTAAGGACTTTAAGTCCTAGGGTCCTCCACCAATTTATAATCCGAGTGTTAAGGACTTTAAGTCCTAGGGTCCTCCACCAAAATATGAGTGTTAAGGACTTGGAAGTCCTAGGGTCCTCCACCAAAATATAATCCTATGATCAACCTCCTATCAACCTAGATAGAGTCTATATCATACTTAGTCATTCATAACTATTTCAATACATAAAGCTTATGTATCACAATCCATGCAAAGCCATGCACTTACATAAATTTATAATTAACTAATATCAACCGATATTTATTAATCCATTATCCATCGGTCAACGTTGCCGTTGACCGCCATTTCAAGCCTTGTACATATCAACTTAATCATCATATAATTAAGTTAATAATATTAATTTGTGCTTCTTTTACACTTCAAACAAATGTGCATTTGTGCATTTTATATGATTCTTCATATCATATTCCATGCATAAACATTTAGTTTCTCTTATACAAACTTAACCGTGTTGGCTAATCACATGTTTAAACATCTTTTAAACATCATTATGAACACATATAACATTTTTTTAGGTAATCTCATGATTAACCCAAAAGTTATAAGATATTAAGCCGTCCACTCACCTTGAACTAACGTTATGAAGTTCTACCCTTCTTGGTTGAACTCCGGTGAAACTCCGGCGACTTTTGGTCAACTCCGGCGACAATTCCGGCTACTTTTCCAACTTTGTGAAATCACTTGAAATACCCTTTACAAGTGCCTAACAAGGTTTTATAATCATAAAACCCATATTAATACAAATAACCTCAAAAAAGGTTATTTTCCGCTGAACCGGTAGTTTTGGCCTCTAAGTCCGTTCTTGGACATAGAACCTCTTTCCAACCCATTATTCCACACTCACACCATGTAGAACAATCCTAAGGGTTCTTCATATGATATATATCTCATATGATAGGAGAAAAATAAAGGAAGAGTTATGATAAGGTTATTACCTTAATTTTCACACTTTTTCCTAGCTTTTTCCTTCTATAATCTTCTTCCTTGGACAATCTTTGCTTGAGCTCGAGTTACAGCAGTGGAGGAGGGTTGGAGAGCTTTTCCTTCCTCTTTCTTTGGTAGCTTGGCCGAAATAATGCACAAGGGAGAGGTGGGGGTGTCCTTTTTGTCTCCTATGGCAAATGAGTGAGGTCAAAGGGTCCCCTTGCACCTTCCTCCACTCAATCTCTTGTCAACCCAGCCCTTACCTTGTTTTTTTTTTCAGCACAAAAAAACGTGGGGTGGACCCCACTCATGTGGGAGGTCATCCCTTTGTGTCCCAGTGTGTACAATTGGTCCCGAAAGTTGTATTTTTCGGACTGTTTTAATCATATTTTATTTTATCGGGTAAAATAAAATATATTATGTGTCCTCAATCATAACGCCCCTTTGAAATAATATATATTCCAAAACTCTAATTTGGAAGTCTCCGAAATTCATTTCTGGGCTGCTATCTGTTAAATTGTCGGTACCGGTAATTGGGCTTCTTTTGACCAATCGGTCAACTCTGGGCCTTTCCAGGGCCCAAATGAAATATCCACTACTATATATTTATTATCTAGACCAAGGTGAATAAAATATATGGCCTCGGGAATGTCGGGCGGCCCCTGCTCCCGGTGTGGGCCCCACGTGCAATTTACTATTCACACGAAAGAATTAATAAAAATTTACAACTTCGTAAATTCATAAATCATTCCACAAGGTTTATTACATCATTTACTTGAAAGTAAATACATTTGGGGACGGTGTTACAATATGCTTATTTTTTAAAATGTCATAGCATATTTCAAAAGTACCACATTGCATTAGATTCGCATATTGAAATTCACAAAAAGTTGATAATAGATACTTGTTGGGATATATTATCCCGGCCTATTACTGTTCATGAGTCCAAGGCTTTACGTAGTACGGAGCCCGAGCAGCTAGGCCCATTTCGGCCCATCCGGCCCACTTTAGCCATTTGGGCCCACTCCGGCCCATGCGGCCCATTAGGGTGGAGAGCATCCCCTTCCCCTATTCTCTATAAATATAGGAGTTTCCCTCCATATTATGGATCCCTTCCTTCTTCCTTCTTCCTTTAGAATAGCTCAAATACTCCATTGATGGGAGTTCAAAATGTACTATGTAATGGTGAGGAGAGTCCTAATGAGAATGAGAGGGCTTGGACATTAGCCTAAAAAGTCCCGTGTTTTTCTCCCTTTCGGGTTTCCACGTAAAAACTGAGTGTTCATACATATATTTACTATATCGTGTTGGATTAAACTCAACACTGGCGCCGTCTGTGGGAATCAGTTCAAAAAGATTACACGTATTCTCCGTTTTTTCTGCAAGATGCATACGGATGAACTTGTTTTTCAGCAAAAAAGAAGAAAAATTTTACAAAGAATGATTCTGAGAAAAGAAGAATATACAGATCTGGATTCGTCACATCTGGAACATCCCAACCTTCGCCGGAAACTGCCAGGGCCGCCGGGAATCGCCGTAACCGTCCATGTTGCGTCGGCACCATCAACTGAAGGTCGCTGCTCACTGGACCTCACTGTGGCAGCTCGAAAGTGACTGGTGCCGCCTCAGATGGGTCGCCGGTCACCGTTCACGGCTAGCATATCCACCTCGCTGCCAACCTAAGCTTCCTTGATTTCCGACATTAATGGCGATTTGGAGTTCTCGAGAGCCAAATATCTGACCGGGGCTGATCCCTCGCCGAAGACAAGCCTCCATGGCCGCCGTTGAGCTGCCATGGCTCCATTGCTGCCGTCAATCAGGGGCCGAACGATACTGCCCTTCCTTGGTGGGGTGTTCATTTGCCTCTCCACAAGATGCTCCTCACTTGGCTGAGAGCAGGCCACGTACAAAGGCCGAAATCCAAGAGTGGAATTAGCAACAAAGATGGGACACCAAGCATTATTTTGGGCGGTCAACGTACGTAGCAGGACATTATTTGGAGTGTGTTGACTCAGTCAACAAGCATAAGATTATTTGGACAAGTCTTCCATAGTTGCTTCCCGGCTAAAGGGCACGACTTCAAAGCTAAGTATTTTAATTCCATCATACGCTAATTAAACACTTTAGTAGTTGAAAACTAGAAGTATTGCTAGTACTTTTCATCACTATTATTTATTAGGGATAAAAATGTCCCGAAATTAAATAGTGCGAGCGATGCTCTAGTGATAATTATTTTCACCGTCATTTTAATTAATGGCTGGATGTTGTGGGGCCGTTTGGCCCCTCTCGATCGGCTTTAATTAGCGAACGGAGCGTATCTGAATGACTTATGGTAGGATAATACTATTATTACTACCCGTACATCGCTATTATTTATTAGGGATAAAAATGTCCCGAAATTTAATAATGTGGAGCGAAGCTCTGGTGATGGTTGGTTCAGCCAACATTTTATTAAATATTTAATTTCTTGTGGGCCTGTTGGCCCACTCTCGATCAGCTTGATTAAGTGATCTGAGCGTCTCCAGAAGGGCGATGCCCCGACGACGCATTTTAATTTGAGGGTTGCGCATTAGGCCGCATGGCACTACATGCCCGATCGACGACCATACCCCAACGTAATCTACGCCATTAGGCGCGAAGTGACTATTGCCGAACGTGGCCTATGGGGCCTGGGAGCACCAAAGCACTCAACCTCGTTTTCCCGAGGGCAGTGCGACCAACTTGGGTCTGAGTTTGAAAACTCACAGACCGATGAATATCTCTATGTGACGTTCGGCGGGCTGCTAATTGGCCCCGCCGCGAGCTGCTATGTCCCTTAACCCCGCACGATGAGCCGGGCCGAGGGTCACGATGACCCATAGGCCGGTAATCGTGGATGTTAAAGATAAAGCCATGCAGGTGGTTATGTGTGTATACATATTGTCGGGCCGTGCGGCCCGTTACCATGCTTATTGCGCAGCTGAAGCCGCTCGACGCGCTCGAGCGAAATGATTAAAAGACGCTCGGCCCGAGTCCTGAAGACGTGCAGGGCCGGCTAAAGAGGAGACCATCACGGCTGAGGACCGTGAGACGAGCATCTCCATCTAGAGGCCGAGGGCCTAGAGGAGACCACCACGGTTGAGAACCGTAGGACGAGCATCTCCACCCCAGAGACCGATGGCCTAGGAAGAACACCTAGAGGCCGAGGATCTAGAGGCGAATGCCATGACGGAGAACTGTGAGACGATCACCCGTCATTCAGAGGCCGAGGGCCTAGAAGAGATCGTCACGGCCGAGGGCCGTCTGACGTCATCATACCATGACCGGCCCCTCGGCGCGACATGATTATCATATTTGAAGACCGGTTTCATCCCCGCTCCTCGCGGATGACGGCCATTGCTTGTTTTCTCAGATCGGCCTCTCATTGCCGACACAGTTATATCACGACCGGCCTCCCGGCTCGGCGTGCTTTCCATATTTGAAGACCAGCCTCGTCCCCGCGATGCGCGGATGAGGACCGTTGCTTGATTTCGGATCGGCCTCCCATTGCCGACACCATTATATCATGTTCGGCCTCTCGGCCCGACATACTTATCTTTTGAAGACCGGCCTCACCACTGCTCCTCGCGGATGAGGACCGTTGCTTGGTTCTTTATGATCGGCCCCCAGGCCGACACTCTTACATGGCCACCGACCCCCTGGTACGGCGCCATTATCATATTTGAAGACCGGCCTCGTCCCCGCTCTTCGCGGATGAGGACCGTTGCTTGATTCTTTCATATCGGCCTCTCATTGCCGACATCATTATACCACGACCGGCCTCTCGGCTCGGCGTGCTTATCTTTTGAAGACCGGCCTCATCCCCGCCATCTCGCGGACGAGGACCGTTGTTTGATTCTTTCAGGTCGGCCTCTCACTGCCGACGCCATCATGTTATGTTCGGCCTCTCGGCACGACATATTTATCTTTTGAAGACCGGTTTCATCCCCGCGCTGCGTTGGATGGGAGCCGTTGCTCGGATAAATCGGCCTGACCGGACACTATTGTCATCTCCATTATCAGGACCGACTGCTCAGCGACATTATGATCATTGTATATCGGCTCCCAATGCCGACCTTCTTGAGTTAGCGATCGGGCTCACCCCTCCCTTCATGAGGGTGACCATCGCCTTCGCATGACATTATGTGTGACATCACTTGTGGTTATTCTTGGAACCGACGAACGTATTTTCCTCCCTCAAAAAAAAAAAAAAAAAAGAAGAAAAAAAAAAGAAGAAAAAAAAAAGAAGAAAAGAAAAGAAAAGAAAAAAAAAGATGGGGAGAAGGGGAGACGAGATCCTATGAGAGAGGGAGTCTTGACGAGGTATGCCTGATCTTCCTTCGCCGCGTATGACGAACGTCTCCCGACGCGGAGGCTAGTAGGAACGTGGGGGGGGGGGGGGGCTAGACGTACCAAAGGGAACCTCGGCAAGATAAACCAGTTCCTCCCATGACCCGTGGTTCGATGAACACCTTCTGCTAAAGCAGAAGGCTAGTAGGGCCACGAGCATGGGACGACGAAGCAGGGAATCCCGACGTGGATAAACCAGTGACCTCCTTGCGATCGTTGGATGACCGAACGTCTTCTTCGAAGCAAGAAGATTAGTAGGACCACGACAGGGACGAACGAAGAATAGGGAATCCCGACGTGGATAAACCTGTTCCTCCTTGCGATCGTGGGATGACCAAACGTCTTCTTCGAAGTAAGAAGATTAGTAGGACCACGACAAGGACGAACGAAGAATAGGGAATCCCGACGTGGATAAACCTGTTTCTTCTCATAGTTGGGATGACGAACGTCTCCTGCGAAACCAGGAGACCAGTACTCACGAGACTTGGGAAGAACGAAGAACCAGTTCTTTACCGGAGTCTGTTGCGTGCCGAGTGTACACCGCTTAGCGGTCCATACATAGGACCACGGATACGGTAGACGAACGAAGACCAGCTCCATGGATCCGACATGAAGAACCAGTTCTTTACCGAAGTCTGTTGCGTGCCGAGTGTAAACCGCTTAGCGGTCAATACATAGGACCACGGATACGGTAGACGAACGAAGACCAGCTCCATGGATCCGACATGAAGAACCAGTTCTTTATCGGAGTCTGTTGCGTGCCGAGTGTACACCGCATAGCGGTCCGTACATAGGACCACGGATACGGTAGACGAACGACGATCAGCTCCCCAGATCAGGTAGGAGGGACATCGCCCAGATTTATTTCAGGCTCACCATTCTTTCCCGGATGGAGTCCTGGCAGACGATCGGCTTCTCACAGCCAATCAGGAGAGAGACTTGACACATCACCAGCACGGCCGAGGGCCGCGAGACGATTATCACTCACCGACAGGCCGAGGGCCATGAGATGATCATCACTGTTTTTCTGTATCACGATCGGCCCGATAGCGCCATCGTGTCCAGATTCACGGTTCGGCTCGCCCATTCCCTTCCAGGATGGCGACGACCGTCTTATGCAGTACGATCGGCCCCTCAGCGCCATCGTACCCAGCTCACGTTCAGCTCGTCCATCCCCCCAGGATGGCGACGAACGTCTTATGCACCACGATCGGCCCCTCAGCGCCATCGTGTCCAGGTTCACGGTTCGGCTCGCCCATTCCCTTCCAGGATGGCGACAACCGTCTTATGCAGTACGATCGGCCCCTCAGCGCCATCGTACCCAGCTCACGTTCAGCTCGTCCATCCCTTCCAGGGTGGCGACGAACGTCTTATGCATCACGATCGGCCCCTCAGCGCCATCGTGTCCGGACTCACGGTTCGGCTCGCCCATTCCCTCCAGGATGGCGACGACCGTCTTATGCAGTATGATCGGCCCCTCAGCGCCATCATACCCAGTTCACGGTTCGGCTCGCCCATTCCCTCCAGGATGGCGACGACCGTCTTATGCAGTACGACCGGCCCCTCAGCGCCATCGTACCCAGCTCACGTCCAGCCCGTCCATCCCTTCCAGGGTGGCGACGAACGTCTTATGCATCACGATCGGCCCCTCAGCGCCATCGTGTCCAGATTCACGGTTCGGCTCGCCCATTCCCTCCAGGATGGCGACGAACGTCTTATGCAGTATGATCGGCCCCTCAGCGCCATCATACCCAGTTCACGGTTCGGCTCGCCCATTCCCTCCAGGATGGCGACGACCGTCTTATGCAGTACGACCGGCCCCTCAGCGCCATCGTACCCAGCTCACGTCCAGCCCGTCCGTCCCTTCCAGGGTGGCGACGAATGTCTTATGCAGCACGATCGGCCCCTCAGCGCCATCGTGTCTCTTTCACGTTCGGATCGCGCATCTCTTCCAGGATGGCGACGAACGTCTTATGCAGTGCGATCGGCCCCTCAGCGCCATCGTACCTGGCTTCACGGTTCGGCTCGCACATTCCCTCCGGGATGGCGACGACCGTCTTATGCAGCACGATCGGCCCCTCAGCGCCATCGTGTCTCTTTCACGTTCGGATCGCGCATCTCTTCCAGGATGGCGACGAACGTCTTATGCAGTGCGATCGGCCCCTCAGCGCCATCGTACCTGGCTTCACGGTTCGGCTCGCACATTCCCTCCGGGATGGCGACGACCGTCTTATGCAGCACGATCGGCCCCTCAGCGCCATCGTGTCTCTTTCACGTTCGGATCGCGCATCTCTTCCAGGATGGCGACGAACGTCTTATGCAGTGCGATCGGCCCCTCAGCGCCATCGTACCTGGCTTCACGGTTCGGCTCGCACATTCCCTTCAGGATGGCGACGACCGTCTTATGCAGCACGATCGTCCCCTCAGCGCCATCGTGTCTCTTTCACGTTCGGATCATGCATCCCCTCCAGGATGGCGACGAACGTCTCATATGCAGCACGATCAGCGCCCCAGCGCCATCGTGTCTGGCTCGTGTTCGGCTCGCCCATCCCTTCCAGGATGGCGACGAACATCTCTTATACAGCTCGATTGGCCCCTCGGCGGCATCATGCCTAGTTCACCTCCGGCTCCGCCCATGCCATCTCGGATGGGGGACCCGTCATATGCAGCATGATTGGCCCCTCGGCGGCATCATGTCTAGTCCACCTTCGGCTCCGCCCATGCCATCTCGGATGGGGGACCCGTCTTACGCAGCGCGTCTGCTTCTCGGCGCTGACATGCCCGAGTTATCGATGAGAGCTACTGCTTCTATCACATCTTGCATTCCCTCTCTCATACATTACATACATACATTACATGCATACATACATTCATGCATCATACCTCATACATTCATACATACACACGTGCATCATGTTTTGACAGTACCGCGACGTCGGTTTATAGATGATGGACCTCTAAGCTTCTCCGATTGGAAAGCTCGAGTCAGAGTTCTTTACTCCCGCCTGATGCATTCAGGGGGAGTGTGCCCGTGGAGGAGCACCCTTCGCCCGACCCTGTCGGGAAGGGGGGTGCCTCACTGGTAGATTACGTTCAGGAGTGCAGACACTCACTCATATATGATGATTATGTGAAGACACAATTTCCAGCAAGACAGAGGAAGAGCGCAGGCAGAGTATATTTTCTCGAGCAGATTCGCGGGCTCACTACTCAAGAAACTGGGGGACTTGTGTTGGGATATATTATCCCGGCCTATTACTGTTCATGAGTCCAAGGCTTTACGTAGTACGGAGCCCGAGCAGCTAGGCCCATTTCGGCCCATCCGGCCCACTTTAGCCATTTGGGCCCACTCCGGCCCATGCGGCCCATTAGGGTGGAGAGCATCCCCTTCCCCTATTCTCTATAAATATAGGAGTTTCCCTCCATATTATGGATCCCTTCCTTCTTCCTTCTTCCTTTAGAATAGCTCAAATACTCCATTGACGGGAGTTCAAAATGTACTATGTAATGGTGAGGAGAGTCCTAATGAGAATGAGAGGGCTTGGACATTAGCCTAAAAAGTCCCGTGGTTTTCTCCCTTTCGGGTTTCCACGTAAAAACTGAGTGTTCATACATATATTTACTATATCGTGTTGGATTAAACTCAACAATACTATTTAATAAGTTTTTGTAAAAGAAAAAAAAACAGAAAGGGAATTAGAAGGTATGAAATGTACATCATGATATTCAATATTAGACTCCTAATACTCAACAGAATATGTGCATGTTTGGCAGATATAAGTTTCTGCCTTCTAGCTTTTGTACTTTTTAAAAAGTATATAAAAGCATCTAGTAGTATGTTTGACATGACAACTTTTAAAAGGTTTTTGAAAATTAAAAAATCTTTTTTGAGATGCTACAAGGAGTAGCATCTGAGAAAAGCTCATGACTTTTAGTTTTTAATTAGTCCTAACAACTTGTATACCAAACAGAACTAAATCAAATAGTCAGCTTTTCACCAAACAGCTACCACCTTTCCTTTTAAAGATCTTTTCGATCACTAAAAACTAACAGTTACTAAAAAGTTCATAAAAGTACATACGTATCTTTACAACTAGTTGTGCCAAACATAACCTATGTCTAATACTCATTATAATAGTGCATTAATGCCCATTCAGCGGAGTCACGTTTTTCAGTTAAATTACAAAAATGTCACCGGTTGTACGGTGTTCGCCGTACCAACGGTGATATGATGTAGGGACTATTGTGAACGCAGGGAAAAAATATCCTCAATTTTTTGTTATGTTTTCATAAAAACCAAAAAATGAAAAAATGTCATCAATTTATATGACTTTGATAAGGAGCCTTTAATAAAATTAATACTAATAAGAACAACAACAACAATAATCATCCTAAAATAGTCTTTACAACAACAACATCAATACTAGTGATTATATAATAGTAATATAATCAAAGACTTTTAGTCATTAATAATATAAATTTAACTGAAGAGAAAAACGTAATAAGTTATCATCCCTAATTAATGTAATAAATGTAATGAGTAAGCTCATTTTTCTACAAATTAAGTTTTATTCTATCACGTAATTAAATTAAATTAAATACATATAAAAGCATCCCTATAAATAACTGCGCTTTTAACTGTGCAGTTATCTTCAAGAATTCATTTGAATGCCTTCCCGATTGAATTTTTTGCTGAAATTTGGTATGGGTAAACTAGACTTAATAAATAAAATGCTCAAAACATTTCAACAAAAAATTCTACCGGGAACCGCCCCAAATGGCGACGGGCAGACAGAGCCTCCTATATAAGGGCATATTTGACCTTTTTTATTAGTACATGGGCTTATTTGCCCCTTTTCTCTCTTTTTTTTAATAAAGTATGACATAGGTTTCATTTTATGTATCCTACTTAAATTTAACGCAATCATTAATAAATTGGTTGAAAAAGTAAAAGTTTTGATTAGATTTGAATATAATAAAGTGAAATGTTGTAGAGAACAAATTGTTCCAAAAAAAGAAATGTATTACCTTAGTCCCCCTAATATTGGGACAAAAGAGGGTAGTGCGGTTGTTAAAAAAGTAGATTATATGGTTGATAATAAAATGATAAAGTGGGAATAAAATAAGAATGAATTAGAGTCATGCAAATGTTACCAAATATGATATGAGACAAGATTAGTGGGACGGACGGAAATGGAAAAATAGGATAATTATAGTTAGACGAAGAGAGTAACACTTATATCAGGACAACTGTACCAAAAAGGAAAGTAAGACAAGTAAAATGAGACCGATGGCGTATTACTAAAACAGAGCAGTACTGTATATAGATATACAATCAAGGTGTTTGCAGTCTAAAATGAACATAATTTTAGGATAAAAATGTATCATTTTTATATTATAAATTATTTTGTATAAGAATTTGTGTATTTTGAAAGTTTAACATCAATCAATATATATATATATATATATATATATATATATATATATATATATATATATATATATAAAAGAGGAACATTTTAAGAGCATACAGAGCACCACATAACCCTGCCATGTCATCATATAAAATAATTATTTAATTAATTTCTATATGTTTTATTTTTTTATTGCGTTCTATTTTTATTAGGAAATCCAACGTACATGTAGCCATGATCAAATTATACCGTGGGATCGGCACACCATGCGCATGGTGTGCCAATCTCAATACAGCATGCAGGCATCGTATCTTTAATTAAAAATAAATTAGTCAAATATTCTTCTCTTGTTTGACCAACTTTAATTTTATTCTCCCATTCCGTCACTCCTTTTTTTTTTCTCCAGCACTGTTTTCACGCATAGCTTCTTTCCCCCAGTTTGTTTTTTATTCTTTCCCTTGACCTTTCTCTTCCCTGCTTTCCCTTCGTTTCCTATTGCCATGCTTTCTGGCATATTTTAATATTAAAAATCGAGTAGCCATGATATACTTGCACGACTCTTTCTTCTTCTTTTTTACTTGTTTTCTTTTTCAATTATCTTCAATTCCATTCTTAAAATATTAAAAATGTGATTACAATTACTTTTTCTAATATTTTTATGTGAAATAATTTCTTATCTCTTTTAAATGTTTTTCAATACATTGAGTTTGTTTATTTCTATTTACATTTAATAAAAACATGTGATTACATTTTCAAGTGTGGAATTTACATTTAATAAAACAGGCGATTACATTTTCAAGTGTACGATTTACATTCATACATGATTCCTGAAGTTATATTTGATACTACATGGACTCATGGAGTGACATCTTCTTATGCGCGATTTACATATTTTTATGCATAAGTTACATGTGCGTGAGTTACATCTAATTATTTGCGATTTTTTACTTATCTTTATCTTGAACTAATTAAATTATAACTGAATTATTATTTTCTTTACCAATTTATTACAAAATTTTATTAATCCACATAAAATAAGTACTATCGTATATTGTTTTTCATAATCATACACTATTTTGTTACTTTGCGTATTTTTTTAAATTTATTATACACTTTTTTTGTAAAATATTTTTTATATTCATACACTTTTTTCTATAATGTATTTCTTATCTCTTTTTATGTTTTTTGTGTTTTATAGACATTAAGTTTGTCTATTTCGATTTAAATTTGAAAAAAACATGAGAATAATTCATTTTTCATATGTGTGAGTTATGTTTATAGACAATTTCTATAATTACATTTAATATTATACGCAGTTACATCTTCTTATGCACGAGTTACATCTACTTGTGTGTGATTTACATCTTTCTATACGCGGGTTACATTTGGGTTTGCCTCAACAAGTTACATTTTGCATATACTAAAGTTAGATTTTCAATCAACGCGAGTTACATTTTCCATAATACGAATTACATCATAGCATAAAGCCTACTATTGAAACAAAAGAATCATTGTTTTGCAAAAAATATTGTTTCTATAAAAAATATGTTTTTTGGCACAAAAAAAAAATTTAAACCATTTTTATGGCCTTAATATTAAAAACAAAATACATTCACTATTTGTGTTAATCCCTGCTATTGAAACAAAAAATCACTTTTTGCAAAAACAAAAATGATTTTTTTTGGCCAAAAAATATGATTTTTGGCAAAAAAAAGATAAAAAGAACATTTTTATGGCCTTAATATTAAAAACAAAACATATAACTATTTACGTAAAGTAATTGAGCAAGTAGACTCTTTGTTTTCATTAAAATCAATGTTTTATTTTTTATAATTCGTATTAGACAAGTTATATTTCGACTAGCTTGCAGTTACTTTTCCTTTTAGTGTGAGTTACATTTTATAACACGCGAGTTACACCTATTCTGCTTCTGGGACACTAAAAAAACAAAAAGAAGTTACTGTTCACAGCGCGTGAACAGTAACACGCTTTCCCCCCCTGTGGGAGCAGCATGCTCACCGTGGGATGCTCCCACGATATACGAACTGGTAGCCATGTAGGCAGATTTTAATTTCCACGTTCAGAATTTAGAAACCAAAAGCCTACCTAAGGATTTAGGCTATATACCATATTTAACTTTAAACTTTAATGACCATACAAACCAATTAAGGAATGATGACCGTAGCCTCAGCATGGGAATCCAATTTGATTGGATCTGCAATATTAAATTGAGAACTTTTAAACATTAGTTTTTATTATGTACACTGCCTCTTCTATTCACATCCATTAGGCTATATATACTTTATGTTTCTCAATTCAAAATTCAGAAACATAAAAAAAACTACGCAAAGTGCATATGTAGGGTATTATATAAATTGAAAGAGAATGTAAATTAAAGTGTATTTGACTATTTTCACTATTGATTATCTCTTTCGTTTGATAAATTTTGCTTAGTGTTATTATATCAAGAATGTCATCACGGTAACATAGTATATCAAGAATGGCACTGTTTTTACTTTTTAGTAGAGGGTTTGGGATGATATTTTTGGTATAGTAGGATGGTGTATTTGAACCTTTTTTCTATTTAGTCCTCTATTACTAAAATAAATAAATAAAACCCGGATTATAAAAATTGTAATGAGATGAATTCAACAATATTTAAATATGTCGGGATAAAATGATATTTGTATTTGTAAGTTGTTTAGATTATAGTGTCAATGAAAAATTCCATTTATTTATAAAAATTTATTCCACAATCAATTTTAAAAAATCACATTTAAAATTAGCTAAATTATGTACTGCCCGTGCATCCCACGGGCTTGAAAACTAGTGATCAATAAGGTTAAAACAATAAACTTTTATCAACATATTATTAAAGACTAAAATACCAAGAATACATGCTCCCTAATATTGAAACTTTAAATAAAATAGTGAATCACTCATTATTCAATTCTTAACTTTAAATTTGTGTTTGAACGAACTACTCCGTATAAAAGAATTGATGGGCCTCCTAATTTAAGAATGCAGTAGGAATCACATAGAAATACAATCATTATCTCTCAAATAAAACAAACACATACGTAGTATATAAATAAATAACATTTCTAAAAATGAGAAGCCCGTGTTAAAAAAAATGAGAAGCCCTAAAAATATGAAAGCCCTAGGCACGTGCCTAGCTAGGGTAACTCCCCCTATCACAGGCTCTGTCTCCACGACCAACCAGGGATCACCGTCCCAGTGACCTGCCACCAGTTACAATGACTGAACGCCGCTCCGTCCAGTGGCCATCAGACAGTCATCGCCGTCGCGCCTATGACCACAATCACCGTATTGATCGCAACCGTATTGACCGCCGCCATCCCCGATGTCGACCAAAAAATTCCAACCCGCACAGGTAGCTCAGTTGGTTGAGTGATAGGAAATTAAAGTTGAAAGAATGATGAAAGATCGAAACACGCAGCGGCCGTGTCGAGGTTACAGCTCATGCGTGTTGGGTTGGACCTCTGGTGCGCATGGCACAAAGTCTACTACCATTGGATGGACTGAGTCACCGTAACTTACAACCTCCAAAAAATCTTGACGAGTCGGGGCGTGGGGGGTCCTTGGGTTTGGGGATTCAACCTTTTGGAAGGAGTCAAAAAGTTTCATCTTTAACATTTTGCACTCCTAATTCTACACCACTCCAAAATAGTCTTAGCCCTTGATGAAATTGACCCACCATTTCAATCAATGATGTAAAATCAAACACACTAATTATTGGAAGACAAATCAAAGCACCGTTTTCTCTTCAACTCAATTAATTGATGTCTAATTTGCCCAAGTGCATCCAAAAGCTTGCCAACTCTCCTTGATAAGGCCAAAAGCAAGCGAACTCCTATCTAGCCCGGTTACACTATGGATGTAAGAATAATGATAGATGAGTACTTAAATATATCATTGGAATAACATTGTAAACATTAAAATAATATACCATGGTGAAATAAGAACTCTATATATAAGGATCAAATGGAGAAGCTAGCCATTTCCCGGGTAATATTTCTCACGCTGATATCAATATATACTTGCATTATTAGGATTTTACATCACATCCATCGTAAATTGACAATATTAAATTCGAGCCACTTAGATACATTATAAGAATTACCAAGCATCCGATTAGGGCGGTTAACGAACCAAACTTTTCTCAAACTGTTCGAGTTCGATTTCAAACCTAATGGCGTTTTGCATGTATGCTATGTGTTTAATTAGATCACCACATGCTTTCTCCCTACAATTTAATTATTAATTACTCATACATAAACATGTTTAAATTTGATGGCCATGTACTAAGAATTTATGAATATTTTAGTCATACAAGTTAGGTTGAATAAATTTCTCATATTTTAACATACACAACTTGATATAACTCGTCGGAGTATAACAATTGTTAAGTCATTATTATGTGTTTGTTGTTGAGGCATCAATATCATACGGAGTAGAAATGTAGTATAAATGTATAATTGTTCGTTGGGGCATCTCACGCTCAAATATTAGGCATTACGATTTAATAGTCTTTGGTAACGCCGAAATATATTGAATCAGCCTATTTTACTGAAATTTATGAAGTTATGGCTCAAGAGATTGGATTGGTTGATTCTGCTGATTTATGAAAAATATATTTAAAATATAGTCTATATTTTATTAATAAAACAAAGAAAAACTTACATGAACAATAGCTAAAATACTTCAACCAATACAACCAATACAAATTTTGAATTTCATAGATAAAAAGTTGTACAACTGTACAAGAACTTTTGTATAATTTGTGTTTTACGGAATATAATGTGTGTGTGTGTATATATATATATATACACACATATATATTCTGATTGTAACTTTAATATTTTTTTATACGGAGTGAATGACAATTAGCGGTTATCGGATACCGAATTATGTTAGTGGATTGTGAATAACGGATTCAATCAGCGGGACTGACTAGTGGAATAAGTTGGCAGATTGTTAGGAGATGTTTGATAATTTAGCCATAAAATTAATAGAAAATGTCATATTTCAAAACGTTAACACAAAACTCTCTTATTTGCAGCGTTTCTATTTCAACCCGCGGTTTCATCCAAAAACACTAGTGCCGAAAGACTATTTACCATATAACGTTTTTACTTTCCGAAAACGTTAAAAGTAGTCAAATTGTCATTGTTGAAATGTCATTTACCAAACACGCCCAATAATTGTTGCGTTTAGGGACAAAATAATTTGTCTCTTCTATTTCCCATCGAAGCCATCAAGTCGATCTCTTTCAAAAAAATCGAAGCCATCAAGTCTAATTAAGTGTCTAACCTGTACGTTTTTGGATCCCATATTCCCATTAAATTTTAATTAATACTACGTATTAACCACCACGTATACGTTCCGATTAGCTTAATAGACAGTCATTAATATTAAGTTCATTAACCTCTTTCTCTAATATCAATTTCTCAACTATAAATACATACCTAGACCTTGAGCTCATAATATATCATCCGATCCAATTCTCTCTTTGTTGTCAAGTTTATTTGAACTTGAAGGTGAAGTATTGGAATTATAAATCCCACATATCAATGGCTGTCATCATCTCCAAAGGATATCTCGTTGCCTCCCTCCTGCTCATGTTTCTTACACTCCATATGGTTCAATCTTCTTCTCAACCCATCAGCTCTCCAAATCTCCAGAGTATAGGTAGTAATATTCTTCAAAAATTATATATTTTGATTTCAGTATGTGTATTATTTCGCATAGAAATGATAATTAAGTACACAATATTGAGTCTACAAAAGAAAAGGTATTTTATTCGATCAAAACACACAATTAGGGCCACCTCTGTATTTAGTTGTCCAAAATTAAAACTTTGCAAACACCATTTGTATTTAGTTGTACGTGCAGAATCTGAGAGCATTTACTTTCTCAATTATTTTACGTGACAATCAAATTTAATCCATTTTTTCTTAGGATGTGGTTACTGACCGAACTAAGGAGCATACTAGGGCCCGGTCCACTCCACATTCAAAGATGATAATTAGTGTAAAACTTTTGTACAAAAATTAATGCAAAATGCATCTTAGTACCGGCCCGGTGCCTTGGCTACGCCGGTGATTGGGGGGTGTGTGTATAGTATATGTATAGTGTATTGAAATGAATTCGTAGTATATATGAAGTAGAAATTAAATCACTGATACAAATATTTTGTATTGTATCGATTGATCATTCATTTTATAGCACAATAAAAAGTGCTACAATATGCTCGTAATATCTATTGTAACATTATTGTAGCAAGAAATGTTACAATAAAATGATAAATTACTACAATACATATATTGTGACATCACTCGGATGAAACGTAGTAAAAAATGCTACATCTGATATGTTGTGACATTTTTGGCACCTATTATAACATTTTGCGTATACTACAACAGTTATACTTTGCACGCAGATTGCGGGGCATTATGTGATGTGAGGTGCAAGCTATCATCAAGGCCGAATCTGTGCAAAAGGGCGTGCGGGACTTGCTGCGCCAGATGCGGCTGCGTTCCGCCGGGAACCGCCGGCAACAAGGACGTCTGTCCCTGCTATGCCAATATGACCACTCACGGCGGCAGGCCTAAATGCCCTTAATTATTTTCTCTTAATCACACTCTCTCCCTAGTAGCTAGTAGCTACTCCGTTGGTCGGCCACGCTATATGCCCGTGATCGCTAAACACTTACGTAGTATATTATTTTCATGTCTTTCTTTGATTTCATACGAGTATCATTGACCGATTACAGTGTCGTGTCATATGTTCAAACCAATTAATTATAAGATGTTGCAAGAAATAAACAATTTCTTCTAACAAACAAATAACAAACAAATAAGTGAAAATGGGAATCACACAAGAATTATACGGTAAATAAGCCGAAGTTGAAATTGAATTAATAGATTTGTGGTGAATACAAGAAGAGTAATTTTGATCAAGATAGATCGAACATCGTTAACTTTACAATATGCGTTCTACTTAAATTGGATTTCTCCTCTTTCCACGACTCAACGATCAACCCAAATAGGCGGACTCCTACTTGGTGGCATGCGCAAATTATACCGTGGGATCGGCCCACCATGAGCATGGTGTGCTGATCCCAAAACCACGCCCGTTTTATTAATAAAAAAAATTAGAGAGAATAGCGTGAGAGAATAGCTGCCGCGGAAGAAGAAGCGTGAGCTCTGGCTTGGCTAGCTCCTCATCCCATGGTAGAAGATTCCATCGGCCGTCTTCTGCGCGGTAACAGCTATACGAAAATATGATTTGGGAATGATGGCTTACCCCATTGGGTGCCTTGATGGTATATTTATAATAAAACAGAGTTTTGGAATATTACAACATAATCCCTAAATATTACATTATTACACCTCCTCAATTTGTGCAGAGGAAAACACGTGCAAATTGGAACGTAAAAATTCAAAACGCTAACTAGACAAGTTCTTTGTGAAGATATCAGCTAACTGCAGCTGTGTAGGAATGTGCTTCACCACAAGATCTCCATGCGCAACTCGCTCACGAACAAAATGATAGTCAATTTTAATGTGCTTACTCCGATCATGCTGGATGGGATTAACGGCCAAGTATGAAGCTGAAACATTATCACAAAGAAGCTGCACTGGTGCCGAAATAAATATGCCCATATCTGCTAGTAGTGACCGAATAAAAAGTGTGTCCTGGACAGTGTATGCTATAGCCCTGTACTCTGCTTCAGTAGATGACTTGGACACGGTTGGTTGTTTCTTGGACCGCCATGAGATTAAATTTGGCCCCAGAAAAACTGCATACCCGGTGGTCGAGCGGGAGCTGTCAGGGCATCCGCCCAGTCTGCGTCAGAGTAAGCTGTAACAACTGAGATGGTTTTATCTGCTCGTAACCATAAGCCATGAGTGCTGGTTCCCTGCAGATACTTGTATATTCGCTTAACTGCCAAAAGGTGAGTAGTGCGTGGAGCATGCATAAACTGAGACACAAGGTGTACAACATAAGTAAAACTTATATAAGTTTTACACATTTTCAATTGATAAAACTTCTATAAAAATTTGATCTTCTATTATAATCACACTAACATTTAAAAATATAAATTAATATATTTTAGATGAGAAATGAACAATCTACCTCGCGTGCCCGCCCAAACTATGTGTCCTTAACCGAAGCAGAGCGCAACAATGAAAATGCACTTTGGGTGACACCTCACATGGTTGCAAAGTAAGTAACTATGAATTTTATCTAACGTCAAATAATTTTTTCAATGTATCATAATGTAATCAAAACTTCTATAAATAAATATTATTAATTTTTTGAAGCGATCAAGAAGTGTTGAACCAAATCAAAACCATAATTGGAGGACACTTTCTTGGGAACTGGGCAACCTACACGGAAGTTGACCCCAAGGTCCGTGAACTTTGGTGGAACCTGTTCAAGGTAAAAATAAATGAATATTCCCTGCGTAATTGTAGTAACTTAACATCTGATAAAAGATAAATTAATTTATTTGTTTTTAATAAAGGGCCGGTTTCGATGGACTGAAGCACACGGTCCCGCTATTCTTAGAGCGTATAACGCTAGGATTCCAAACTGGCTTCGTCCTACTTTTAGGCGTGCCCGAAGGGACGGGACAAAGCCTGGATGGTGTTCGGATGAGGTGTGGGCTAATCTCGATCGCCACTGGGCTTCTAATCCGAACTTCTTGGCAAGAAGCGAATCCGGTCAGAAAAACCGGATGTCCGAGAAGGCCTTGGAGACACAATGGCACAGGGGCCGCAAACCTAAGAGCAAATATAATTAAGATCTTGTAAGTCTTATTCAAAAAACCTTACACCATTACAACTCTTCATTTTTACATTTATTTATGGATCTTAAGCCTTTTTTCGAACCATGTAGGCGGGGCCTAAGAAGAAGAAGGTATCGATTCTCAAGGTCATCAAGCACTGCTGGACGAAGCACGACGATGAGTCGAATGCCGATATGCCACCCCGCCTCGCTGAAATCGAAGTAAGTAACATCTATTTTGTTACTTAGTACCATTCGAAATCGAAGTAAGTATCATTTTAACAATTTTTGTACATGTAGATGAAGTATCACACAACCGTTCAGAAGAAGCGGGCGGAACGAGGCTTGACCGACGAGGATGAGCTCGATTCTGATGCGGAAGATGATGTCATCGTTGAGGCAGCTGGGGTGTACAAGGGCCGGGTTCCGTGCATGGGGGCCGAGGGGCAACGGATTTTGTACGACCGCAGCGGCACTTCATCTTCTCGATCAAGGAGGGGAGAGGATCCACGTATCGCTCAAATGCAGCGGGAATTGGAGCAGCAGCGGGCCTTGGAGGAGCAACACAAAAAGGACGAAGAAACAAGAGCCCGGCTGGAAGCGATGGAACGGATCCTCAGCGCCGGAATTCGGAATCAGCCTCAGCCTCAGCCGTATATACTGCACCCCGAGCAGACTCCTCAAGTTCCGCAGATGGGCGGTTATTTCCGTTCCAACTCTGTGTCCGGGTTGCCTTCATATGGATCTTTTCAGGATATCAATTTTCATAACCTGTTTCAAACATCTGGAGGCAGCCAAAGAGGAGGCAGTCGCGGAGGCAGTCGCGGAGGCCCAGGTGGAGGCAACCGCGGAGGCAACTGAGAAGAAGACGAGACCGGAGAAGATTATCTAGGATATGATGATTCTATATATTATCATAATGGTGGCCGGAGGAGCTTGTAAATGATATACATTTTTAATTTAAATTGAACATTGTTTATTTATACTATAATTCTAGTCTGTTTATTACTTTTATTCCAGTCTGTTTATTAAATAAAATGTGTATTCTAGTAGTCTGTTTATTAGTTTTATTCTAGTCTGTTAATTCTACAATTATTTTTTTAAAATAAACTTTTCTAAAGAAAATTTGAAACATATTTTTTATTTATTTTTAAATAAAAAAGCTTTTTTTTAAAAAAATAAAAAAACTTTATTTTTTAAAATAAAAAAATTTAGTCACGGATTTGAGCCGTGACTAAATTGTAGACCGGATTTTTTAAACTCTTTAAAATTTTTTTTTTTTTTAAATAATATAAGTATTGCCATCAATTCAATTCAATTTGAGCCGTGACTAAATTGTAGACCGGATTTTTATACTTCATAGTCAAGAAATTCAATTCATTTGATGAACTGATATAGGTATTGCCATCAATATGCCTTTTGATAACTAAAAGGAGAGGTCAAACACCTCATTTTGGAATTCCCTGACTAAAGGTAAAATACTGTTTTTTTAGAGGAAGGTAAAATACTGTTTGAAACTAAAAGTATTAAAAATGAAGTTCACTGAAATGAAAAGACAAATTCATCAAATATCCAACTTAACTATCTACAGTTCATTCGTGCCTAGTGGGAGGTCTCGAGTTCGAATCCCGCTAGACACACAAGGGTGTGAAACTTAATGGAGTGAGTTTCAGCCCTGATTACTCCAGGCTCCCCCAGCCCGGCCCCCTCCCCCAGACCCCCCTGGAGTAAAAAAAAATCTATATTTTGAAAATATATTTTATATACACATATATATTTCGAAAATATATATGTCTTGAAAATATTAATATACTTATATGAAAAGTATACGCACTAGAATATATTAATTAATAGTTATAATAGTTACTAGGTATATATACTAATATATTCGAAAAAATACTAACATATACTTTACTAGGTATATATATACACACATATATATTTCGAAAATATATTAATATATAATTTGTTAATTATAGTTACATATATCTCTTCAAAATATAAATATAGTTATTTTTTTTTTGAAAATAATATATTATATACTTTATTACTTATAAATATAGTTATATATATCTCTTGAAAATATTAATATAATTATATGTATAAGTATAGAATATATTAATATATACTTTATGAATTAAAATGAAATAATGGAGTAGTTTATAAGCTACCAAATCGGCTAAGTTTGACCCACCACTCAGCTCGTCGGGGTTGCGTTCGCCTATCGCACACAACCTTTTCATAAAGAGCATTGGTGATTGATGATCTTAAAACGAGACTCAATTGAATCCCGAGTCCGTGGAACGTTACATTTTTGTGAAAATGATACGTGAATTCGGCCCCAAAAACTCTCTCCAGGTTGATTTATGCCAATGGCAGTATTGCACCATCTTCGGACAGGGACGGAGCCAACAAGAGAGGTGTGGTGTCAATTGACACCACTAATTTTTTTTCCCGTAAGTAGATATATAAAATTTTTCAAAATTCTAAAATTGACACAACTGAAAAATAAAAATTCTTTGTATAGGAGTATGTAATGTTTCATAAATTATAAATTGACACCACTCCATCAATTAAAGAAATGGGGATCAATGTAAAATATTTTTAATATTGGAATACCAACTTGAATCAATTGAAAGCCAGGTAATTAGAATTTGGGCGGTGCACAACTTCTATTCCAAACCTCCCGCTGCAAAAGACTAAACGACGCAAATGGAAACCCTCATCCAATTCTTCTTCCTCCTGCGGCCTTGCCAGGCTGCCATCGGCCTCCGACTTCGCTGCCCAGGCGGCCCCGTCTACTCTCCGGCCATTTTGGCTATAAGCTTACCGGCAAGGCGGCAATCCTAGTATCCCACCGGTGGTGACAAAGAAAGATATTGTGTATCCATTAGTTTTTTTACTTGTGAAATTAGCTTTGATTTTACCAGTGGCGACCACAACTATGGAAAGAGCTTTCTCTGCCATGAAGATAGTGAAGAATAGGTTGCGCAATCGAATGAGGATGCTTTGATGAATGATGTCTTAGTAACTTTTATTGAAATAGATATATTCAAAAGTGTTGACAGAGAAATTTTTTTACAACGTTTTCAAAATATGAAAGCGCGCCGTGGACAACTGTGAATTAGTACTTTAATTTATTAATGATAATATTTCCTATTTTTGCTTTATATGTGTATAGATTATTATATAATAGTATTCTGCTTAAAAAAATAGTGCTTTGTTAAATTGACACCACTGACACTGGTTCCTGGCTCCGTCCCTGTCTTCGGATATGGATACCCAAGCGTTGCATAGAGCAACATCCTCAATAACACTCCAATTAGCATCTCTTCTTGATGAAGACATCACAAAAAATTTAGATAGTAAAGAAAATATGATGAAGAATGAGATAGATGAGAGATGTGTGATTAAAATAGGAAGAAATGAGGTGTTTATATAAGATTTTCGGTCAAAATATTAATTAAGAATAATGGAAAAATAAAATATTTTAACCGTTGGTTTTCAATTTCAGCCATTGGATCAATTTTTTTCCCGTTCAAACAGTGCCCAAATCATCACAACCGTTGGATCTACCAATTTTTTAATTACAAACAAGCTAGAGCAGTTGGGAGTGCTCAATGACACCAGCATGACGTCATCATGATGTCATGCAATGAATTAAAACCTGCGCTTGCATGCCCCACGATGGCATCTTTCCTCTCCGCAGCAGCCTGTCCTGTCCCCCACCCCTTTTACTTTTCCTTTTCCATTTAATTTGAGGGAGTCAATTCCACCCTTCAGATTTGAAACCCTCCATCCTATTATCCACTTTTACTCCCCCATATTGTGAACCACTACAAGAAATTAGGAGTCCATAAATTCCACTTTTAGCATTTTGGACTCCTAATCCTACACCACTCCAAGTGGTCTAAGCCTTTTCGTGATTTCAAGGGGCAAAATAGTCCAGTCAAAGCATGTTTTAAGTTCTCTTTATTTGTTGTGTCAGTCAAGATTATATTGACGAAGTATTCCGGGACGGAGGGAGTACTTCCTCCATTCTCTTTTAATTGGAACAGTACGCATTTCACGTTTGTAAATGCAAAAGTTTGACCATTAATATTTTTCATTCTTTATTTGTACAAATATTTAAAAAATCAGATTTTGAAAATTTAGAATGAGAAGAATTTAACAATATTTTTTTGAAATATAATTTATAATACATTAATAAATAAAACATAGTCAAAGTAGAATATGTGAATAGTGCAAAAAGACCAATGTTGCAATTAAAAGAGAAGGGAGGTAGTATATAATAGAAAAAATAGTTTTTGTACTTTTTAGATTTTTTTTTTTATATTTTTAAGATTTACAAAAAAAATTATAGATTTTTAAAATATATTTTTACTTTTTTTTTTGTATTATTTTTTGTATGCATTGCAAATTAAAATATTGTTATCCTATTAAGTTATGCAAGGGTTTAATATGAAGATATGATGTACTTTAGTCATATTTTGGGAAGATAAATAATATAGAATGTTTTTACTTGGACTGAAATTTGCTGCTCTGGTCTGGTGTATTTAAGTCTGGTCTAGTCTGGATTGATAAACGTCTGGTCTTTGTGTATTTTATAACTATAGAAGTTTGGTCTGGTATGATCTAGTCTGGTCTGATATGATATGAATTGATTTGATCTGACTTGTTTAAGTTTAGTCTGATCGACTGATCTAGTCTGGGGCTGAAAACGGTGCTAGTAAAACATCCATACTCCTATTTAGTGATTAGCTTAGCATTGCAAATTACAACGTATATCTTGACGAAATGAAAAGATAGGCTGGGTCTTACGCAGTTCCCCCTAGCTACAAAAGTAACAAAACGTAACTCTGCCGCAGTTGAATACCAACAAGTTAAGCCTGAAATGAATTCGGGCTCCTATATATACACTTAATTGGAGGCCTCTTCTTTCATTCCTCAAATATAAGCCATCATTAAATCTTGCTAGCTCCACTAATTGATTTCAACGTACGACAAGTATGGCCCCAAGAGATTTAACTGGTCGGGAATATGCATGGGGATTGTGTTCTCTCGTATTCCTGCCTCCGTATGCCGTGTATGAGGGGTTGGACTACGAGTGTACTGTAAGCTATCTACCTATATCTGAGCTATGTACTCCCTCCCGGCTCCGTCCCCGAAACAACTTCCCGGTTTGACTTACACACATACGGAGTATTAGGGAAATAAACTTATCAGGGGTAAATTTTACTATTTCGACACTGTTTGACACTGTTTTGCATTGTTTTGATATAGATAATTTGCCATTTAAGAAAAATGGGAAGTTAAATTAGGGACATCCAAATAAAGAAAGTGAGAAGTTGTTTCAGGGACGGAGGGAGTACTATACTCCATATTTAAATGAAATATATTACTACCATCTTTTCATTTAAAAGTATAAATTATTTAGAGTATGATAGTAAGATAATGAAATAATGTGTTGAAACCAGTGGCGGATCTAGTGTTTACAATTTGGGTGTTCAAAATTACACATTTTCTCTTTAAAATACTAATAAATAAATTATTACTCTAATTTGTATATATATATTCCCATTGTTTTTTTACTTTTGGGTGTTCGCATGAACACCCTTGCATAGAAGAGATCCGCCCCTGGTTGAAACGAAGGATAAATAAAAAAGTACTTGTAATAGTGTACGGATAGGTTCTGAACTATTTACAAAATTATTGAGGATATGATGAGAAAATTTAGAAATGAGAATTTATGAATGTTATAATTGAAAAAGGAGAATGGAAACATATGAATGTTACCGAGGGAGTATATTAGTATATATATTAATATATACCCATGCAATGCATGGTTAATTAATTCAAATACAGTATATATGTATAAGTAGTAGGGAGTATGATATTCTTCCTAAGATATTACTAATAAAAAGTTAAGAACAAAAATGTGACTTAAAAACCTTTAGTGACAATAGTTATGTTCAACATTTATATGAGTCACTTCCATATAGTAATTTTGAACACAGTTATAGTAACTAAAAGTTATTACGTCACATTTTTGTCTATCGCTTTTGCAAGA